CGTGGGGTGTCAGGTGCAGGGTCTGCGGGAACGGTGCTGCCAGCCTTGCAACTGGCACAAACTGTGTAGCCAGCCCGTGGCCCTTTAAGGGCTCCGAGGCCAGGAGGGGGGCAACAGAGTTTCCCTGGTGTTGGCCAGAGTGGCCACCAGGGAAACCTGGGAAGCCTTAGCCTCCCACTAGTTCGAATTAAGGGTCTACACAGCCCTTAATTCGAACTAGCTAGTTCAAACTAGGCTTAATCCTCGTAAAATGAGGTTTACCTAGTTCGAACTAAGCGCTCCGTTAGTTCGAATTAAGTTCAAACTAACAGAGCGCTAGTGTAGCGCCTATCAAAGTTAGTTCGAACTAACGTCCGTTAGTTCGAACTAACTTTGTAGTGTAGACATACCCTCAGTGACTTTTATATGAAAGAAAATTTTCACTATTTTATTTGTACTCCAGAAGCGTCTATAGACACCAGTCAAGGATCAGGACCCCATTGTGCTAGACATTGTACAAACACATTAAGAGCATACCTGCCTCAGAGCCTGCATTTTACATTTAAGGCAATATGCAACAAATAAGTTTGACAAACTGTAGGGAAGGAAGTGAGGGGGAGGGGTAACCATAAAATGTGATTAACTGGGCTGGCCAATGTTCACTTTGACTTCACTTTCCATTAAAAGCTTCTTATAAACTCTCCCTTTTCTCTTTTACTTCTATATCCTTTTATTTTAAATCTCTGCTTTTGCCTATTTCTTAAATTTATTTTGCTACTCTTTGTTAGACTTTAATATGTAGGATGCTGTGTAAATCTGGTTTACTGTATACTTTTCATGTTGGTGACTGTCACATACTCTTTGTTAGGGATGTAAATGACTAATTGACTCTCCGATAAGCAAAAGCTTATCCAATAGTCGACTAGTTGCTTCCTCCACCCTTGCTGCCTCTATCAGAAAGAGGCAGCAAGGGAGGTGAAAGAGGAGGGGTCCTGGGGGGAGCTGGCTTAAAAGCTGATTTCCCCCCAGCTCCATCTCATGGGAGAGGGCAAGGGTGCAACAGTGGTGTTCCACCTTTGAAATGTACTCTTGTACGCTGGGGCTCTTGTATGTTTCAAAGGCAGAACGCCTAGGCGGGCTCTTGCTACATTTCAAAGTGGAAGAGCCCTTATTGACTAATTGAATAGTCGATGGAATTCCATCAACTATTTGATTAGTTGATTAATCTAATTTTAACATCCCGACTGTGTGTGCATGTAGAATAGTGCACAGGCTAGATTAGAAGATACGACTTCAGTGTATCTAAAGGTGAAAAAAAATTATATGATGATGTGCCATATTAAAAGTAAGTGGGATGATCTGGGAATCTGCAGGCTCATTAACCTGGTATTGATTCCAGGCAAAATTATAGGAATGCTGATGTGAGGCTAATTTGTAAAAACTTGAGATGGTAGCATAGCTAATGCCAGCCAACTTGATTTATGGAAAATAGGTCTTGTCAGCAAAACTTGGTGTAATGTTTGATTAGATCACAAGTTTTGTTGATAAAGGTAATTGTCAACATATAGTGTTTTTCTGTAAGGCATTTGAATTGGTTCCAAATAGCTTTCTAATAAAATTAGCAATATACAAAATTAAATAGTTTGAAAACAGTTTAACTGATCATAAAACATCATTGTAAACGGGGAATCACCATCCAGTTAAGGTATGGTGCATCAGGGATCTGATGTCAGCCCACTGCTATTTAATATTTTGTTTCATTTATTTGAAAGAAAACATAACATCATTGCTAGTAAAATATGCAGATGACACAAATTGTTAGAGCAGTAAATAATATCAACCTGAAACATTAAATAAGGTGGGCTGGGCTTATTTGAACAAGCAAATGCAAGGTCATACATCTAGAAACGAAGATCGAGGAATCACATCTCAGAAATGGGGGGCTATATCGTGGAGAGCAGTGACTCTGAGAAGGATGTAAGGGCCATGGCAGATAGTCAGTTTAAAAATTAGCTCCTACTGCGGTACTTCTGAGAAGGTGAATTCAGTCCTTGGATGTATAAGGAAGGGAATATCCAGTTGGAATGGGGAGGTAGTATTCCCTCAGTATACAGGATTGAGACCATTAATCCAAAGTGGATTGCCATTAACTCCCAGCATCTGATCTTGAAGGCAGAAGTAATACTGAGGCCCTATTTTATGTATCATTTAGATATCAGACTAAAAAATCTGGGCCACCCTCACCTCATGCTCCAGTTCTTCTACTAACTCATAATCTGCTTCCATTGCCAATTCAAGGCCCTCGTCCTGATCTTCAAAGCCATCAATGGACCAGGTCCCATCCACACTAGTGACTGCCAGTGTCCATTTCCTCTAAGATTTTTCCATCCATGAGCGGAGTGAGTTTTGTCTTGTGCACCAATATTGAGGTCATGTGTGCTTGTCTGGATGTGTGCCAGCTACTTATATACAAATATTATGGAAGAAAATACTAAAACAAGGGATAATTAACAAGGTGCATGACTTTAAATGTTTATTTAATATGAAATCAAAACACTAAAAAAATCAATTCTCCTGTGTAGCCCAGAAAGGCACTATCTAGTGAATCTCAGCTAGAATGCAAAATAGTTTCAGTTAGATAGGCAAATTTCTCCTGTACTTTTCCATTTTCCCCACAAATAAAGAATACAATGCATATACAGTTTACAATAAACCTATGCAGCCCACCCCAGGAGCAGCTGGGCGGCCACCACACAGTCCTTGCTCCAGCTGCTTTGCATCGGACGTGTTTTGTCTCCCTTTGCCTCTCTAGACATGTAGCACTTCTGTAGGTATGAATCACATTAGCTCCACTGGTTTCAACGTCTACCAGCGGAAAATCTGGCCCTTAATTCCCAGATTTGGCCACTAACCAAGGCATTAAGCCAACTTATGCATAAGGCCTTTCTTACATTCTGCTTCCTCCTCTCACTAACTATATTGACTTCAGAGGAAGTTCACAACATTCTATTGTGGCATGTGGTTGCTGTTGAAATGGTTATGATACAAACAATATTTCAGTATCAGATTTCGTATATTACAAATTAATGTGTCGTCTTTGTGAATCCTTTTGGAAGTTTAACTTTTAACAGACAGATTGATATTATTGTCATGATTGCAATAATTTCTTTTTAGGACAAGCAGTTGTTAGAACGGAGATGTACACTTTATTTAAATTTGATTTCAGAAAAATATTCAGTAATATATTTAAAATTAAAGCTGATGTTTCCAGCCCTACACAGTACCTGATTAGCATTATACACATGATTAAATTGCATTGACTTCAGTATACAGTTAAGTGCATCTGTGAATCAGGGTCTTAATTTCAACATTTAAATTCTTGTATAGTTTAAATGTGTACTTATCCAAGAAACTCTTTCTTATTGTCTTTACGCTGTTATTGAACCCAATGATGTACTCATTCAGGTTAAACAATGTGCCGTGTTTTGTGTAACAAATACAATTGTAGAAAAAGAGCAAGGTAAGAAAAAGAGGATCAGATTCACAATTCTGTACTTAAGACCGCTGGTAAAGTCACAGAATAATTCAATTAATTTATCTACTGATATGTGTGATTTAATGATCTAGGAAAATAAACAAGAATTTTAACTGAACCCTTTGAATATTTCATCTGTGAAACTGATGTGAATATTATAAAAATCAAATAATCCCAGCAATCTTCTACAGATTCATGCTAACTTTGCACATAACTAAATACAAATGTCTATAACATTAAAAAGATGTAATGGGGTAGAAAACACCACACTGAGCATTGACAGAAGAGGGAGGAAATCTTTATCTGTTTACAAGCAACCATGGCTGTGGCTCTAGCCGGAGCACACTGGGGCAGCCACCTGCTATGCGGTCCTGCCCATGTGGGTGCTGGACTTGGAACCAGGGCTGCAGTGAGGCTGCCCCAGCAAGAATAGACTCACCACAGCTGTGGCTCTAGCCACCCACCAAAGACTTACTGTACCCCAGCTCCAGCCAGGGCAGCCACCCACTGAGCAGGAACCCGTCTCTCACCTTCCAGCAGGAAAGTGAGTGGTGAGTGCTGCTGCGTGGCTCTGCAAAGGAGGTGGGTGGGCCTAGAATTTTTTCTGCATGGCCAAGGAGGCATGCTCCTTAGAGGGAACTATGGTGACTCCATCTCCATCCTGACCCGCTAAAACAACTTTACTCCTTTAGGATTATACAACTCCAAGTACACAAGAGCAAGAGATTATTCTCAATCAAGCAGGTTCAGCTATGGAAGGAATGAGCTTCCAAAAGATTTAGGCTAATCCAAAACCAGACCAATTTAGCACATGCTGTGGGACCTTTTCTTGTGATGATGTTTTCCCACTAGCCGGAATGGGATACCGAAAGCAGTTTCCTAGAACCTCAAAAGTCTCCATGAAGTCCACTAGAGACATTGCTATGTAAATCTAATTAATTTGTGCAGAACTTAAATTGTACATTGGTGAGCAATATAGAAAACACAAAATCAGTGATGGAAACAAGCCAGCAGGCAGCAGATGGGCACTTATTGATAGTTGTTTAGAAGAGTTTATATGTTATAGAACAGTGGTTCCCAATCTTTTTGATACTGGGGACCAGTAAACCCATTCACAAGCTTTTGGAGGACTGGTGACATTTATTTGAATATTTGCATATTCATTAAGCAAATGATGAATATGCAAATTGTCACTGGCCCTACCTGTCCAGTGGGTTGTTTTCCCCCCTCCCCCCAATCCCGGTTGCTTTATCGGCTGGCACCAGCTGCGTTTCTGCACCGGTGCACACAGTGAGTTGTTCCGCCCCACTCCTCCTTGCCCCAATCCTGGCCGCTTTATCAGCCGGTGCCGGTTCCCCTGGCTGCGGCTGGCGCTGGGCGTTCAGTGTTGGTGCGCATGGCACCCAGCCTTCTCCCTGGGTCCTAGCGCCCGCTGGATCTAGCCCTGCCGCCTGGGAGCATGCCCAGCAGAGATGCCGCCACAGCGTGCTCTCTTTCAAGAGGGCTGCGCCACCATGCTTAGCAGTGCGGGGTGCTGTTACCCCATCACACAAATTAATAGGATCGTGTGCGATAATTTTTCTAAAGACCGTTTTTTGTTTTTTTTCTAAGGACCAGTACTGGGCCTCAGACCAGACTTTGGGAAAGGCTGTTATAGAAGATTAGGGTTAGAAGAGATCTCAGGAGGTCATATAGGCCAATCTCTGCTCAAAGCAACACCAAACCCATCTAAATCATCCCAACTAGGGTTTATTTGTGAATAGGCAGTAGCCAGTCTTAAAGCAGGTCTATCAAAATTTAAATTGGCTTAGGCGCTGTTAGCATGTTCCTTTTTTTCCCCCATTAAAGAAAAGAAACCTACAGAATTCTTGTTTTTTGCATTTAATGCAATATGTTAAGTTCTTTGCCACCAAAAGTAAATTTCAGCTTCCACCAGCAGCAATAGCTCTGTTGCATTGTACCTCCTATGTCTTGCACAGGAGAAATTTGACAAGTTGTATATTAAACTATGTAATTGACTAGAAAACAGACTCTATTTATATTAGAACCCAATCACTTAAGAAAATGTGGGCATCATCTGAAATCTGATGTTTATAATTGTTTATTATAGTCCTGCAGACTGCCTTCCTTTTCTTCCCTTTGTCTAGTAAGCTTCTTTCTTACATCACTCCCTTTCTTTAAAGCTTTGTGTGTCTATGTCTCTCTTCCCCTTCCTCACTAAGATGGAGTTCTCAACCCTAAGACTCCCCTGTCTGCACTAGAGCTGAATGTGGCAATTCAGTGTCCTGTCTGAAGCAGAAATGGGGTTTAAGCCACTAACCAGTCTTGCCCCACCATGATTCACCTACTCTTAGGGTGGTTAAATTGCCCTTTGGCTGTAGCTGATGCTTCCCCCTACTCTGGACCTCATCAAATTTCCCTTGCTCATAAATGCCTCTGACTTCCCTCCATAGATCAGCGGATACCTTAACCTGCTTGCCAATACCATTGATAACTTCACACACGGTCTGGCAGTGGCAGCCAGCTTCCTGGTTAGTAGAAAGGTAAGGTTTGTGCCCACCTGTCAAACTGGAGATCTGGAGAAACCATTCTCTCACCTGTAGTATGTGCCTGTCTGCATAGTAAAAGGACTTGAAGAGCCCCCCTTCCAGGGGTAACTGCCAAGACAAAGCTGTACTGGAGAACACAAAGGGAGCATCTCTGCTCAGGACAGAGCTTTTCTGACTAATAGATTCTTGGCCCCCGGAGTCCATTCATTCAAGTGGAGGTGGGGGGTTATCAGGAAGGGATTGTTGGATGTAATCTCAGCACCATTGAGCTTTGAGATTTTTTTCTCTTCTTCCACAGGTTGGGCTCCTAACCACCATGGCAATCCTCCTGCATGAAATCCCACATGAGGTGAGAAGGTTCTGCAGCCTGCTGCCAGGGGAGCTGGGATGTTAGGTCTTGGTCTCAAGCAAGTGCTCTGCAGGAAGAGGGCTGGTGGGGGTTACCTCTGCTCTTCATCATTCTTCAAAATCCTTTTGTTAGAGGATCTGCTTCCTGTTGAATGCTAGTGTTAATCTACTTAGGCACTCCTTTGTTAATGTTTTCCTCTGTGTTCAGGAGAGTTAGGATTAATAACCACTGACTCTGCTTTCCAATAGGTAGGAGACTTTGCCATCCTGCTTCGGGCTGGGTTTGACCGCTGGAGCGCAGCCAAGATGCAGCTTTCCACAGCACTGGGGGGAATTCTAGGAACCTGCTTTGCAATCTGTTCTCAGTCACCTAAAGGGACAGGTAAGGCTCACTAAGGCTACTGTGTGTCTACTTTCCTTTGTTCTATAGTCTCTTCTCATTACTAATGGAGACTTTCATTGCATTTACAGGGGAAACTGTAGCTTGGATTCTCCCATTCACCTCTGGGGGATTCCTGTACATTGCCTTGGTAAACGTTGTGCCGGACCTCTTGGAGGAGAAGAATCCTTGGTAAGTGGTTCCATCATGGTTATTGGCATTTCTACTGTGCTAGTCGGAGAGACAACAGGGTGTAAAGCTTCTGGACACTACTGCTTTATTCCTCAAAACAGGTGAGACCTTTCCCAAATCCCATGAAAGGTGAGATGGTATCTAGCAGAGTCTGTTCTGCTGTGCCAGGTACTCAGGTTATTATTGCTAGTTATTACAGGGCACACTGACGGAAAGGCTTACCCCAGCCTAGCTCTGATATAATATGCTGGTTTCTGAGCATGTTAGATGGAACAGGTTCAGTCTAGGGTGTTGTCTAGCCAAGTGCCTGACCTAACACTGTCCTCAGGTATCTATTCCTTCCCAATCCCTAATTCGGTGCTTTGTTGAATTGACATTCAGAGGGGATATAAAACAAGCAAGCAAGCAATGCCAATTTGATACTGAATTCATCTGTTGATATGAATGCATTCAGCTCCCAGCAAAACCAATGCCACTTCCAATTATTTTTAACCCTCTGATCTTTGAGAGTTTGCTGCTGCAAGTTACTAGGGATTATTCTTTCAGAGGAATGGCAGGCTATTGTGACTTAAGATTTTTCAGTCACTTTCCATTATCATGGATTTTTAACTCTTCTCATTGCACTCTGCTTCCTAGATTTATTAATTTCTTACCATTTGCTTTCCTGAAATATAGTCTTTTGTGCTGCTGCCATTCAGTGAGAGACCCCCCAACTCTCCCTTCATTACTGTCCAGGGTAGTACTTGTCTTCCAAAGAGCGATCACAACATCCTTACCACATCCAGTATCCAGTCTTGCCTCCTGTTGGAGTGGTTTCTCAGACCGCTCTCTGCCACACAGAAGGAAGAATTGTGAATATCTTTCCTACTCAAGAAGGTGGCTGCATTGCCTCATGTGCGTGTCCGCACTCAGACAAGAGCCCAGTTCCTGACAATAAGCACATAAGAGATTGAACTCCTGAGCGCCTTGTACTTACGCAGATTGGAACTGGTTTCTGGCCTATTCTGACTTTCTTGTTTCTTCCCCAGGAACTCGCTGCAGCAGGTTCTTCTCCTGTGCACAGGCATTACAGTCATGGTGCTACTCTCACTCACTACAGAATGACCTCCGCTCAGATCTCCTCATGCAGCCTCCTAGAGCTACATTGACTCTGAGCTCTTACAAAGCAATAAGTAACACTAATGTAACTCCTGTGTGTACACGCTTGTGGGTCCAGCTGAGACACAGGTGAGAAAAAGAGGGCATCATTGGGGGATGCTGGACTCCATTCCCTGGCTCTTCTATCCCTGCTCTGTCAAAATCCCACAAACCAGGGTTTCTAATGTTGGTGTTTTATGGAGTGAAAGCTTTTGAGGACAGAAATGAACCAGAAGCCAGCTCAAGGAGAACAGACAATGTCTCACCCTGGAGTAAGAACTTGGAACTACACATCCTAAGCTGCTGAGTAACTAGCACAAGATCTCTGTATCCGGTGAAGAAGATTTACCTACTATTCCAGGCTCAGAGAAAACAGTTTTCCTAAAGCAGCAGCAAACCAACAACTTTCCCCAGTGCAGCCTAACTAGCAGGAGCAGAGGTAGTATTAAAATCACAGGTAGATAGAGGCAAGAAGGCCGCTTTCTCACTCAGCCCTCATTTATCAGTAGAAAAATGGGATGGTATCATCCTAGACAGTCTGTCTTTCTGGGCTCTTCTGTCTTAGCTTTGAAATCTTGCCTAATACTTTGGGCAGGTTGGGCTAGGGTTAGGTTTTATGGCCTATCCTAAAAGCTTCTGCCTTTAACCTTTACTCCTCTGTTTAGAGAAACTATCCCCATCCTCTTCCCTGTTCAACACAGCCTAAATGCATATTTGAGAAATGGTCAGCAAATGTTTCCTATCATCCCAGGCCATCAGATCACCTGTGTCTGTGGGAAACCTGCTCAGTCACTGGCCCCTTCCTAAGGCCTCTCATCAGGAAGTGGAAAGTGAGCAGGATGTGGACTGTGGCCACCTAGAGGAAGAATGGAGGAGAGAGAAAACACTGTAAACAGATAAAAGGCGGAACAGAGAAGAAAACATCATGTGTGGGGGCGAGATGGAAAGGGGTAGTGTTTCTCAGTGACTGTCCATGGTCTGGCACCAGTCCCTGAGATCTCTCTGACACAGTTTAGGAAGGCAGGAAGCCAGTCCCTAGTATCAAAAAGGTTGAAAAACACTGGTAAGAGGGATCTGCTGGTGCAAAGGATGAAAAGTGAGTTTAATCACTGTAGCAGCAGAGCTGAGCTGGGAAAAAGAATGTGTGTGTGACAGTGCCTTTGCGTTTGTCAGGTGGTGTCTGGGATCCCATTTGATGGCAGCTTAACAGACTAGTAAAACTAAACCTAAAAGTTCCTGGCTTTTACTGATTTGGATTACTGATTCTGACAACAACACTTCCTCTGGAATGTCAAAACTTCCTAAGCATATTCACAATTGCTTAGACCTTGCCTATAGGAGGAGGTTGTACTGATTTAATTAAATCTGTTTTGAACCAACGTAGTTAAATTAATGCAACCTCCTTGTGTGAGGTACAGGAGTCCACAGAGTGTTCTGAATCCATCCTGTGCCCTCAGACATTACAGAGAAGACAAATGAACTTTGCCATTAACCAGAGATTGCATCAAGTAAATCAAGTAAATCTGCCTCTGAATTGCTTTTGTTAAATAAATACAACTGTCTTGCATAGGCAGGGCCTTTTTGGAAAGAGGTGGCTACTGATGCTGTTCAGGACATTGAGGACTCCAGAATGAGACCAAAATGGCTTAGGCAGTAAGAAACCAGAGGTGCTACCCAGAGCAAGTTGCCATTTCTTTGCGAGCTCTGAAAATGTTGACTGTTTCCATAGCACCCTCCCTACCACTTCTGAAGAAAGCCTGGCAGCTTTTGCTTGCAATAGTCTCTGCAGAAGGGCTAGTGACTAAAATCCCTGCAGCTTTCCTTATACCTATCTCTGTCACCAGCCTGATCTGTTGGAGCTACGAGGGAGACTGTCAGTACAATGTTGTTTCCCCTGGAAAGTTGCCTTCCCATGATAGCTGCTATATTATCCAGCTACTGTGAGCTCCAGTCATGCATTCATCCTCCTCTTCTTGGGCATCTGAGATGACTCCTAGCCCTTTCGTAATCAGAGAAGCCACAAGATACTAGCTCCTCTGGAGACTGGAGCTACCAAACCTCTGGTGTGGGAGCCTGGAGGAAGCAAACGTATGTACACCCAGCACTTCCCAAAAGATTGTTAGCTGAAAATCAGTTCAGCATTTTTAAAGTTGGGGGCCCAATGCATTGCAGGGCTTAGTGCCTGGGCCTTGATGCTATTGCATCAATGCTGAGTTGGGCCAAGAATGTAAACCACAGCAGGGATTCTGTGCTCAGTGTTCAGGAATGTGCAGTGGGTGACACTGAAGCATTAATCACAGAGCTGTTTCTCTTGGCTAGCAGCCCAGTTTTTGGGAAGCTGCACCCACAGGGGCAGTACAGGGCTTTAAAGAGCAATAGTTAGCTGCTCCAGTGCATGCGGCACCAGCTCTGTAACTGAACTAAGGGCCTTTGGGAGGGAGGCTGTTAGCCACTCCACCACATTTGTCACTTTTGGAAATGCAGAAAGAATCCTATTTTCTAGCTCTATTTTTTTCAGCTACTCCTGTGCATGTTCCCATTCATCTGTATTGATCTGATCTGCATAGAGACAATAGAGATGAAATAAATGGTTCTGTGTGTGGATTTGTTTTTCTTGGTAAAATGACTCCTTTTCTCTTCCATTGCCTGTGGACTACAGATCAATCTCTCTGCAGTTGGCAATCTGTATGTAGCTTCTCAGGCACTACTCTACAATCTGCTCCTAAAGCTTTTGCTACTGAAAGCATCTTAAGTATTTTAAACAACTTGATCTGCCTGCTGTCATGAGAAACTCCTGGATTAGCATAGCTGGCTTGCTGTACATATTGTTTCTGCTGCATGTGCCTCTGCTTCCTTGCCAGGGCAGCAGCTATATGACAGCTCACAGTCAAGAGCAGGGGTGGACAAAATTAAGTCCAGGGGCTGGATCTGGCCAGCTGATTAGTAGAGCTGGCAATGTGTGTTCAGCTGCCCCTGCATCATGCAGCTGAGCTGCTCCCAGGACTCTCCAACTAGCTGTGCAGAATGTGGGGGTAGGGGAGGTGGAGGGTAGAAGGGAATGCTGATGTCAGGTTGTCTCCTTGCCCTTGTGCCCCATCTCCGTAGAGCAGGGGTCAGGGAGAGGGAGACACATAACGGAGCTGCTCCAGACTTAAGCATGGATGGCGACTCAGAGGAATGCCTGTCTTAAGAGGCAGGACACTGTTTCTTAGATTTCGGTGCTTGTGCGCTCACATACACACTTCCACACCATCCTCCGTCTCTGCAGAGTACGGGGAAGAGGGAAGACAACTGAGCAGGACAACTTTTCTTGTCTTAAAGAGAAAAGAGTGTGGCTTCTCTCAGAAACATACCCAGCAGTAGCAACGCACAGTCTGTGTCACACACACTCAATCAGTGTCAGTCTGTTGCTGTGCCCCTTTCACACACTCACACTCTCTCTCTCTCTCTGTAGCCCTGTCCCCACCCCTTCCACTCAAGGTCTTGCCCCTGTGTGTGTGTGCACAGGGGTGGGGGAGGCAGAACCAACCCATGATTATGTACCAAAATTCATTGTGGCCCCCTGTGAAAATTATTGCCCATCCCTAGCTTAGAGAATCATAGAAAGTTAGAGAAAAGACCTTGCATTTCCATCTTTGGCCCTGTAATCACTTACCTTCCTTAAAAGCCAATCTTTCTGACACTGACAAGATGCCCTGCAGCAAGCCATTAAACAGTGAACACAGGCAAAACCAAGAAGTTTAGCAAGAAGCTCCTGGAGGAAAAGAACAGTTACTTACCTGTAGCTGTTGTTCTTCGAGATGTGTTGCTCATGTCCATTCGAAGTAGGTGTGCGCACCGCGTCTTCTGGAACATTTTCCCTAGCAGTATCTGTAGCGCTGGCGGGGCTCCCCCTGGAGTGGCGCCGCCATGACGGGGCATAAGTACCCCTGCCAGCGCTGCCCCACCTCAGTTCCTTCTTGCCGGACACTCCGACGAAGGGGAGGTAGGGTGGGTGTCGAATGGATATGAGCAACACATCTCGAAGAACAACAGTTACAGGTAAGTAACCGTTCTTTTCTTCTTCGAGTGGTTGCTCATGTCCATTCGAAGTAGGTGACTTTCAAGCCAACCCCACATACAGAGGAGGGGTCGGAGCAGTCAGACCACAAGAGTCATAGGAAAGGTGAATAAACGCAACAGATGTATTCAAACAGGTAAACACAAAGAAAACATGAGCCAATAACAGTGATAATTCAACATATTTACACCACAGAGTTCAGGACAGCAGAGCCCACCCCTGCGTCCTCCCTGGCCTGTTGTGCTAGCGCGTAGTACGCTGTAAAGGTATGGAGGGACGACCATGTGGCCGCCCTGCAAATTTCTGTAATTGGTATCTGAGCCCCGAACGCTACCGAGGACGCCTGTGCCCTGGTAGAGTGTGCTGTAACCCTGGGTGGGGTCTTGCCAGCCAGTTGATAACATTCCTTGATACATTCAGCGACCCTCGTTGTCAAAATAGGTAACCCTTTCACCCTGTCCCCAAAAGCAATGAACAACTGTTGGGATCTGCGAAAGGGCTTGGTCCTATCAATGTAGAACGCTAGTGCTCACGTAGCGTCCAGGGAATGGAGCACCTGCTCCTTGGGGGAGGCGTGGGGCTTCGGGAAGAAGACCAGGAGATAAATTTCCTGGGACAGGTGGAACGGTGACACCACTTTCAGGAGAAAGGCCGGGTGAGGGCGGAGCCTCACATTACTATTTGAAAACACAAGGTAAGGCGGATCTATAGTCAACGCCCTCAGTTCGGAAACCCTACGAGCTGACGTGATGGCCACAATGAAAGCAACCTTCCACGAGAGGTGCTTCAGGGAACACGTAGCCAATGGCTCAAAGGTGGGGGACATAAACCTGCGTAAGACCACGTTGAGGTCCCAGGCGGGAAGTGGGGCCCTCACTGAGGGATACAGTTTTTCCAGACTGGTAAGGAATCTTTTAACCACCGGGTCAGAGAAAAGAGAAACTCCTGCCGTACCCACTTGGAAGGCGGAGAGAGATGCCACATGGACTTTAATAGAGGAAAAAGAGAGGCCGTTAGACCGAAGCTCAAAAAGATAGTCTAAGATAGTCGGGACGGGGCAGAGGATGGGTGCACTCCTCTTCGGGATGCCCAAGACGAGAAGCGCCGCCACTTGGCAGCGTACAACCGTCTGGTAGAGGGCTTCCTACTACTGAGGAGCACCATCTGAACCTCTTGGGAACATTCCCTTTCCGGTTGGTTCAGCCATGGATAAACCAGGCCGTTAGGTGAAGAGACCTGAGATTTGGGTGAACCATGGTCCCCCCCGTCCCAGGGTTGAGTTAGAAGGTCCCGGGCTGAGAGAGCGCTATGGGATCCTTGGTGAACATGTCCACCAAGATGGGAAACCAGAACTGTCTGGGCCACCTGGGGGCTATAAGGATGATTGTGGACTGAAAGGTCCTTGCCCCGGTCAACACCCTGGAAATTGGAACGGGGGAAAAGCGCAAAGAATGCCCTTTGGCCACATGGCTATTAGGGCATCCCCCAAGGAGTGTTTCCCCAGCCCCAGCAGGGAACAGTAGTTCCGGCACTTCGCATTGTGTGCTGAGGCGAACAGGTCTAGGAGGGGATAACCCCACCTGCAGAAAACCTGGCACAGGACTGAGTCCTTGAGTGACCACTCGTGGGCTCTGAAGGATCTGCTCAGAGAGTCTGCTAGCAGATTCCTGTAGCCCGGGAGGTACTCCGCCTGTGGTGTAATGTCGTGTTTCACACACAGGTGCCAAAGGAACAGGGCCTCTTGGCAGAGGGGAGGTGACCAAGCTCCCCCCTGCTTGTTGAGGTAGAAGACAGCCTCTGTATTGTCTAAACGAAACAGGATCGAGTGGGGAGAAAGCCTTGGCAGGAAGGCTTCGCAGGCTCTTCTCACCGCTCGCATCTCCTGGATGTTTCTATGGAGGGTCCATTCTGTGGGGGACCACAGACCCTGAGTCCTGTGCTGCCCCAGGTGTGCTCCCCAGCCCAGGTTGGAGGCATCTGTGACTAGTGTAAGGAAGGGGGGAGGGGCATTGAAAGGAACCCCACTGCACACCACAGCCTCCTGGGTCCACCACTGTAGGGAGGCTAGGACCTCTGGGGGCACTGTGAGGATCGAGTCCCAAAGACCCCAGGACTGACTGAAGGCATTTGCCAACCAAGCCTGCAGAGGTCTCATTCTCATTCTGGCGTGGTGTACTGTGTATGTGCATGCAGCCATATGGCCCAGGAGCCTCGAGCAGACCCGAGGGGTCTTGATAGGGGACCGGGTTAACCCAGAAATCAGCTCCACTATGGAGAGGAACCTGTTCCTGGGGAGGAAAACTCTTGTTACCCTTGCGTTGAGGGCACCGACGAATTCGAGATTCTGAGAGGGGGTCAGGGATGACTTTTCCTCGTTCAGCATGAGCCCGAGCTTTAGGAAGAGGGCCTTTGTGAGTGACACGTGAGCCTTTACCTGCTCGTAAGAGCGACCTCGGATTAGCCAAATGTTGAGGTACGGGAACACGTGCACCCCTTGTTTGCGAAGAAACGCCGCAACCGCTGCCATGCACTTGGTGAACACTCTGGGTGCCGTTGACAGGCCGAAAGGGAGCACCGTAAACTGAAAATGGTGTTGGCCAACAATAAACCTGAGAAACCTCCTGTGGCTGGTTCTGATCGCCACGTGGAAGTACGCGTCCTTGAGATCGAGAGTTGCATACCAGTCTCCTAACTGTAGCACTGGAATGACTGAGGCTAAGGTTACCATTCTGAACTTGTGTTTTACGACCGCCTTGTTCAGATCCCTGAGGTCCACGATGGGATGGACGCCTCCTTTTGGTTTGGGGACAACAAAATATTGGGAATAGAATACCTGTCCCCGCAGGTGTGGAGGGACCTCCTCTATTGCTCCCTTTGCGAGGAGCACGGACACCTCCTGACACAGGATGTGTTCGAGAGGGGTGTCCCTGAAGAGGGACGGGGAAGGGGGATTGGAAGGCAGCCGGCCCAAGAAGGGAATGGTATAGCCTCCATTTACTATAGTTAACACCCAGGCGTCTATTGTGATTAGTGCCCAAGCATGGGCAAAATGGGATAACCTGGCCCCAAACGGGGGGCCAGGGTAGGAGACTGGTGCACAACTCTCTATCAGCGCGTCTGAATTGGGGCTTGGTCTGATGGGAAGGGCTGTGGGGTCCTCCCCGCTGGCTGTCTGACCTGGGGTGACGATGGTGACCCCTGGCGCCTGGGGGATGCGCAACTGCCCCGGAACCTCCACCGGAGGCCCGGGAGCGGCACCTCCAGTAATCCCCACGGGGGACCTGGGGCTGCGCCCTCCCCTGTTGCCTATAGGGCAGCTGGCGACGCTAAGGGGCAGGCGTGTGAATGCCCAAGGACTTAAGAGTGGACCTTGTGTCCTTTAGCGTATGGAGCCTAGAATTGGTGTGCTCCGAGAACGAAGTTTTGCCATCAAAGGGCAAGTCCTGGATAATATTCTGGACGTCGGGGAGAATCCCGGAGACTTGCAGCCAGGCACCACGGCGCATGACAACCCCAGATGCCATAGCACAGGCTGCCAAGTCAA